TCATTTTCAGTGTCTCTTATTTTTGGAATATCTGTGCCATCCCAGACTCAGCTGTAAGGCTCAACCTTTCATCAGCTTCTATTTAGGCCATGAGTCATCAGGCAATGACACTCTTTTCCTAGTAAATCAATAGCATAAATGTCAGTGGCGTAGGTGGCTGAGGAACTATTAAAGTGGTGGTGGCACTTGTCAGTCCTTGGAGCCCATTAACTTCAAGTCCCACCATCTCACTCTGTGTGAGTTTAACACTGACCACAAGATCCACACACTTTCATTGTGTGTGTTTTTTTTTAATGGAGACTTCATATTTTGCTCACTACCAAGTTTGGGCCACACTAGACCCTCAGCATTCAAATCAGTAAAATCTCCATACCCAATAGTTTTCTTTGTACTTAGCTTTCTTAATTTTTTTCAAATGCACCATCAGAATGGTTAAATATCTTGTGCAGGTGTTCACCCAGTCCTCAGTTCTTCCTCAAGATGAATTGCTCTGGATATAAGTGTAGTTTCATTTGTAAGTGGGAGGATGTGGGTTCAAGTTCACTCTGCCATCTTCTTAGAAGTCTAAAGTTATGTTTCTTGAATGCTTGTGTGAGCTGAAATTTCTAACAGAACATGGATGAAATATAATTAAACATTTTCATTTTCAGTGTCTCTTATTTTTGGAATATCTGTGCCATCCCAGACTCAGCTGTAAGGCTCAACCTTTCATCAGCTTCTATTTAGGCCATGAGTCATCAGGCAATGACACTCTTTTCCTAGTAAATCAATAGCATAAATGTCAGTGGCGTAGGTGGCTGAGGAACTATTAAAGTGGTGGTGGCACTTGTCAGTCCTTGGAGCCCATTAACTTCAAGTCCCACCATCTCACTCTGTGTGAGTTTAACACTGACCACAAGATCCACACACTTTCATTGTGTGTGTTTTTTTTTAATGGAGACTTCATATTTTGCTCACTACCAAGTTTGGGCCACACTAGACCCTCAGCATTCAAATCAGTAAAATCTCCATACCCAATAGTTTTCTTTGTACTTAGCTTTCTTAATTTTTTTCAAATGCACCATCAGAATGGTTAAATATCAACCAATAAATATTACTTCTGAAATCCTCATAGATAATCTATCATTGTCATTTTTAGGGGGGTCTTCCTCCCTGAAAACCCTTTCTTCCTTCTCAGTGGGTTATCAGCACATTGGGCTTTCTGCAAAGTTGTTGATTTGGACTTTTCTTCTTTGTGATTCTGGACTGTCTGTATCTGTTTTCCTATCTTGGATTCACTCTCTCCTTCTTTGTTGATATATTTCCTCACTTTGCTGAGTACCTGCTCCAGTAGCTTCCTAAGAAAAAAAATAAGTGTGAAGTGAATTTTTTAGTCCTTGGACATCTTTATTCTCTCTTCACATTTGATTTGGCTTGATACTTTTCCCCTCAGAATTACGGAGGAATTTCCTCATCCAGTGTAGGTATTAAAAAGCTCAATGCTTACTTGATTTCCATTTTGTTTTGTTCTTTTTTGAAGATTTTACATCTTCTATCCCTGTTGTTACAAACTTTCTCAGCATATACTATGGGGTGATCTCTATTTATTGTGCTGGGCCCTTGTGAATCATGGATCTGATAGGTCTGTGAAAGTTTTCTGGTTTTATTATAATCTTACATTTTCTCTGGGCTCTTTTTCTGTGACTAATTCATAGGATATTGGATCTATTAATCCCAATTTAAGGACTTTTTTTTGGAGAGGTGCTGTGTGGAAGGAAACAGGAAGTCAGGGCAGGTTGGACAAGCTGTCAGACCAGGATGCTAACCTCATCCAGGTGAAGAAGAGATTGAGAGAAAGTTGGGTGGAAATAACCTAGACATTTCTGAAACTGACAGTTCAGTGAAGCTGCCAGGCAATCATTTTGCCAAAGCCAGCTAACAAAGGAGTCCCCTGTCTCTTAGGAGTGGGTTGGCCTTATTATTTCTGCTGCACTCAATCACTGGTGGTAATCTAAACCCAGGCACAGACTCAGTGAAAGCACAGTGATGGATTTCTAAGTGATGAACCCGGGACCCTACTCAATTACCTTCCCCAGAGGTGTGAGGTGCCAACTTCATGACACTATGTAAAGTAGGTACTATTATCAGTTTGATGGATTCCTTAGTCTATGTATTATGCCTAGAATAGTATCAGGAATATCATAAGCACTCAGAAAGCACTAATTACAGTGAGTGCCAAAGAGAAGCCTGTTAGGGTATGCGATTAGCCAAAGGAAAATATTGCTCTCAACTTCAGGATCTATTTACTTTTACTTTAAGTACTGTTCTAATACTTGATTAACTTGAATACATGCCAAAGCCAGGTTAGAAATGGCAGAGTAAAAAGATATTGAAAACTTATTAGCATTATAACAATCATAAAACCAGAAAAGGTGTATTTGACAGCAGGTAAAAAGAAATACAATAAAAAGCATACATGAAAAAAGTGCAGGACTTTTAACATTATGAAACTTAGCCCTAACAATTTCAACAGGCATGGGTCCTTCATGGTATTTCATAGATGTAAAAACTAAAGTTCATAATAATGACTCTGACATCAAGAAAATGTTTTAGTTGCATTTTGAGGAGGCAAGAAGTATGAAGTGCATTTCAGAATGTTTTCCACCAAAATATTAAAACTGCAGAGGAGCTCCAAGGGAGGTAAATCCTCTGAGGTTCTGGACAGCTGATAGCTTTATGGATCTAATAAAATAATGAGTTTTTTGTTTTCCTATGCATAATTGCATATCACTTCTTACTATCACTTGATGATCAATAATTCTTACTCTTCTCATTTTGCAACCTGATTTTATTCGACCTGTAGAGATCCTGTCATGGTTTTAGTCACTGCCGAGACTCATCTGTTTCCTAAGCAAATGTAAAACCTCTATGATAAATTCTGAATACCAGCAAAACTTCCAAGTCATTTAAGTCCTGAGATTGTCTTGACCATCCCACAATTGTCATTGAAAAGATCTCATTCCAGCGGCACCTCGCTCAGGGCTGCCTGTTTGGACACTGTCTGTCCTTGCTTCCTGGTCAGCGGGCCTCATTCCAATAGCACTTGCTTGTTTCTACCCAGCACTTTTCTCACCTATTTCCTTCCTACACGTGGATCACTGACAGGCATGGTGCCTTCACAAACACTGGGATAACAACAGGACGGCAGGCATGGGATGTGACATAAGCACCTTGGAGAACAACTAAAGAACTTGATAGTAGCTGTTTGTTCTTCTAACCTCTCCAGAGACTGTTACAGCCTGGGAAGCTGCTGTCCAGAGCAACAGACCTCCATTGTCAAATTGGGCTGCTTACAGTGGGACACAGAAGCTGCACAGAGGGAAATAAAAGAGAATGACAGCGAGCTGAGAGAGATGTATGTAGGCATAGATACACACAACATGCCAACATGCACATAGTATCTTGTCTTAGTATGTAATAAAAACACCATAAACTGTGTTCTTTAAACAACAGAAGTTTCTTACAGTTCTTTAGGCAGGGAAGTCCAAGATCAAGGTGCCTGCAGATTGTGTCTGGGGAGGACCCACTTTCTGGTTCACAATCTTCTGTGTCCTAACTTGGAAGAAGAGGCAAGGGAACTCTCTGAGGTCTCTTTATAAGGGCACTAATCTCATTCATAAAGGTCTCCCCTCATGACCTAATCACCTTCCAAAGAATTGGGGTTGATTTGAGACGTCTGATACAAACATTCATCCTAGAGCATATCCAGAACACATTTCAGTTAAGAACAAAAGCAGAATCTGTCTCATTTTCCCATTGATCTGTAAGCTCCTCGGAGCTCCTCTGTTTGCTTGCATCTACACCAAGTTAAAATTTATGAGAAGGAAAATGCTGTCATGCTGAACAGGCAGTGCTTAATTCATGTTTGATAACAAAGAGCAAAGGACAACAATGTCCTAAAAGAAATGTGTTCATGACATTTCTATAAGGACAGAAATAGCTGTTAATTTTGCATGTTTAATGTCCCCAGTTCTTGGACATTAGCTCCTTTTGGGTCGTCTGGGTTTTTTGTTTGTTTTTGGCTTCTGTAAAGGGTTCAAAAGGCTGTGCTAGATTCCATACATTCTGATCCATTGTTTTAATGGTATTGAAATTACACCTTCTTTCTCTTCTATTATCATGTACAGTCTTCTAAAGTAATCTATTTTTCTGAGTAGTACTTCCCCTTCCTGTTTCATCTAGATGGCATCAGCACATATTGAAACATATAGATCTACAGGTATAATAACTGAAATGCACAAAGAAAAGCAGGCAGGAAAAACTTCAGCCTGACAGTTCAGATACTTTCCTATTCTGTATTTTCTTTTCTCTTCTCACCTTTGTATTTTTTCAAGACATGGTATTAAATGTGCTGCAACTCTTCAGGAATGAGGAAATTCAAGACAAACAGTTAAGTAACAATCTTTAGAAACTAAAATTTATTTGAACATAAAACTGTAAATTGTTTTGTTTTTCCCAAAATAAAATTGGTCAAATATGAAAAAAAGTATTATAAAGGATTCCAACTTTTGATTTCAGTACAAACACCATGTTGGCTAATTTGTATTGATCTTATCTGCCAGTCTAGATGCAATCACACTTTTAAACGCAGATTCCTATAATTTGCTTTTCTATAAAATGTCACCAAGGCATTAAATACTTTGAAAACAGTGTTTGTAAATCAATCTGCACTTATTAGATTTGTTTAAACGATAGCATTAGAATTCCATGCCGAGATTTAATTTGGTTTTAAAATAACTCCCTACATGCAGAACATTTCCAAGGGCGGAGAGAGGCTAGTTCCCAATTATTTTCATGCCATCAGTGCTAAATGTGTTTAATGACTCACTTACCTACAAGCTGCAGGTTCTCCAAAGACCTTCCTGTTCAGTGGGACATAAAAATTTTACTTCAGGCTGTTTTATATTTTTAAAAAGGAGAAAATACAGAACCATAGCCAAATGGAAAGTAAAATGTCTTACTTTGTTCATGTCAAAGTTATTATAGATTTGATTAACATATTAATTGGCCTTTTAATTTAGACTTTACAGACCCAAGAGTGTCTTAAATTCATGCAGTGTTTGAAGGCCAGATGTAAATTCCATCAAAAATTTTCTATACCACACATAGGTCTCCTCAGCAGGAATTTCTGTCCAACCACCAGCTATACACTATTTCTCATTGTGATTCACAGTGTAAGTTTTCGGTCAGGTTATTTCATGGGATTTCACTCCAGATTTAGTCCCTCACTCTTCACTAAGACTTGAGGCTAACATGTCTTTAGAAAGCTACTCCAAATCTCTTACAGCTGTAGGCAAAATAAGAACAGAAAGCCAGTGAAATTAACCCATCTGTGCAGTTTAAGACTAGGTCATTCCCCCCTAACTGATGGGTTTGTGTTTACCATCATTAAGAGAGACATTTTTCTGTGAAGGGCTGAATTAATATTTTAGAGAGGGTAATCCTGGCCATACTGTTAGCCATCAATCATGCCTACATCATGGAGTGGTACAATGGGTCTCATGGAAGGAACTTCTGAGTTGCTATCAGGGAGCCTGAATTTGAGGCTTTGTTCACCACTTACTAATAACTACATTGAAACATTCCTTAGGTTCTCCACTACCAGTTTCCCCCTTTGTAAGATAATAAGAGTATTTGCCCTTTTACACTTGAATATTGTGAAGGTAAATTTAGGTAAAGAACATTTTTGAAACCATGGGAATATTATACATTCTGAGTACTGTTAAATTAAAAAGAAGTCTATGTATAAAAGAGGAAAATGGGTAGAGACAACCACATAATTAGTAGTAAAAAATGTAGAAGTAGTACACAGAAAGCATGGTTCGCAGATAAAGGAACACATTGGGCTGTACCTTTTGCTTTGTTCTTGCCTTTTTTTCCCTTTTTTTTTTGCTGTTTCTGTCTTTTCTATCAAGTCTTATCTACCCATGTCCTCTGCCTGCTTGTTTTATTCCACTCCAGTTGCCAAGCTAAACTTGGCTGAGTGAGGCCCCAATTGGAAGGTACCTGAGAACCCAGTGAATGGGCCTCAGAACTGTATCAGTGGTCCAGTACTGGAAATGAATGATCCCATGTGGTTCTCAAGCCATCTTGCTACCAACCATATTTGGGAGTAACAGAATTACATTATTTACACCTAAGGTCATCTGATCCCAAGTATGGTTCTCCTCTCTTAACTTTATTTCATTTTTATTCCCCAATTCCCATATTGACTAAGTTTTTAAGTCTGGTCTCTGCCTTAGACCCTATTCCTTAGTGCTGATGATCTGTTTAAAACCGCAGGTTCCCTAAGAAATAGAGCCACTACAGCCAAAATGAACTACTTTGACAGGAGTGGGAGATAGTTAGGGTAAATATAATTTTGTTTCAAAATACCAATGTAGACTTTTAATCGAAAATTTGTATTTCATACTTAAAGTCAAATAATAGATGTTCAATAAGGTCATACAAATTTGGAATTCATTCATTTGGAAGTGTTACTGAAAACCACTAAAACAGATGAGATTTCTTATATGGAGTAAAAAAAAAGATGAGATAATGAAGATTCAGTTCTGGGGATTATTCAGTTACAAAATATGAGAACTATCCTGTTAGAATCTTCAAAAAACATTCTCTGGGGAAGTCGTTCTTCAGACTCTCTAAATGTCTGTCAGAAGGATACTCAAAAGCACTGACATCTTATCACCATTAACATTTATTAATCAACAATTTTTAGATTAAAGAAAGAATATATACTGGTGAAAACTGGACAGCTACATGTAAAGGAATGAAACCTAATCACTGTCTTATATTATACACAAAAATAAACCCAAAATGGATTAAATACCTAAATATAAAACTTGATATTGTAAAACTCCTAGAAGAAAACAGACAATGAGCATTAGCATTAGTAATTTTTTTGGATATGTTTCTCCAAGCAAAGGAAACAAAAGTAAAAATAAGCAAGTGGGACTATATCAAACTAAAGAGCTTCTGCACAATAAAGGAAACCATGAAATGGACATTTTTCCAAAGCATACAGATGGCCAACAGACAGATGAAAAGATGCTCCACATCACTAATCATCTGGGAAACATATATCAAAACTACAATGAGATACCACCCTCACACCAGTCAGAATGGTTGCTTTCCAAAAGAAAAGAAATTACAAATGTTGATGAACATGTGGAGAAAAGAGAACCCTTTTAGAGTATTGGTGGGAATGTAAATTGGTACAGTAGCTATGGAAAGTAGTATGAAAGTCTCAAAAAACTAAAAGGAGAAATACCATATTACCCAGTGATTCCATTTCTGGGAATTTTCCAAAGAAAAAAAAATCACTACTTCAATAAGATTTAAGCACTGCTATATTCATTGCAGTATTATTCACAATAGCCAAGATATGGAAACAACCCAAGTGTCCATCGATAGGTGAATGAATAAAAAAGATGTGGCAAATATGTAACAGACTATTACTCAGCCAGAAAAAATAATGAAATCATGCCATTGTGACAATATGAATGGACCTAGAGAGTATTATGCTAAGTGAAATAAGTCAGATACAGAAATACAGATACCATATGATTTCACTTATATTCAGAAACTAAAAAACAAAACAAATGAACAAACAAAACAGAAATAGACTAATAATACAAAGAACAGACTAGTGGTTGCCATAGGTAAGGGGGGTAAAAAGGCACAAACATCCAATTATGAAATAAATTAGTCATAGGGATACAATCAAGATATTGTAGTATCTTTGTTGACAGACAGTAAATACACATATCACACTAAGCATTTAGTAACATATATAATTATTTAATAACTGTTCACCTGAAACCAAAATTGTATACCAACCATATTTAAATAAATAAATAAATAATACACAAAAATAATACAGGTGGCAAAATTGGACAGTTACATGTAAGAGAATGAAACCATAAAACTCATAGAGGAAATCATAGGCAAAAATTTCTTGAATATAAACATGAGTAACTTTTTTCTTGAACACATCTCCTCAGGCAAGGGAAATAAAAACAAAAATGAATAAATGGGACTACATCAAACTAAAAAGCTCCAGTACAGCAATGGACACCATCAGCAGAGTAAAAAGGCATCACACAGTATGGGAGAATATATTTGTAAACGACATATCCAATAAGGGTTCACATTCAAAATATATAAAGAGCTCACACTCCTCAACACCCAAAAAGCAAATAACCCAGTTAAAAAACGGGTAGAGGATCTGAACAGACACTTCTCCAAATAATGAATTCATATGGCCACGAGGCACATGAAAAGATGCTCCACATCACTAATTATCAGGGAAATGAAAATTAAAACCACAAAGAGAGATCACCTCACACCAGTTAGGATGCCAACATACAAAAGACAAGAAACAACAAATGCTGGTGAGATGCAGAGAAAGGAAAGCCCTCCTGTACTGCTGGTGGGAATGTAAGCTAGTTCAACCCTTGTGGAAAACAGTATGGAGGTTCCTCAAAAAACTAAAAGAATACCATTTGACCCAGAAATTCCACTCCTAGGAATTTATGCAAAGAAAAGAAAGATCCCTAATTCAAAAAGATATATGCACCCCTATGTTTACTGCAGCACTACTTACAATAGCCAAGATATGGAAGCAACCCAAGTGTCCATCAGTAGATGAATGTATATGGAAGATGTGGTACATATACACAGTGGAATATTATTCAGCCATAAGAAGAAAACAAATCCTACCATTTGCAACAACATGGATGGAGCTAGAGGATATTATGCACAGTGAGATAACGACCAAATGATTTCCCTCATCTGTGGAGTATAACAACAAAGGAAAATTGAGGAACAAAACAGCAGCAGAATCACAGACTCCAGGAAGGGACTAGTGGTTACCAAAGGGGAGGGGTGGGGGATGGGGGGTGGAGAGGGAGTGAGACAGAAGGGGATTAAGGGTCATTATGATTAGCACACATAATGTAGGTGGCTCACAGGGAAGGCAGTATAGTATGGAGAAGACAAGTAGTGACTCTATAGCATCTTACTAGGCTGAGGGACAGTGACTGCAATGGGGGTTGGGAGGACTTGATAATACGGGTGACTGTAGAAACCACAGTGTTGTTCATGTGAAATTTTCATAAGATTGTATATCAATGATATTTTAATTTAAAAAAAGAAAAAATAATAAAGGTGGCACTTCATGTCAATAGGGAAAAATAGATTATTCAGTTCATAATTCTGGGACAGTCTAGAAACACACACACACACACACACACACACACACACACACACACACACACACACAGGTGGATTTTCAACTTACTCCTTACACCAAAATAAATGCTAGATGAATCAAAGATTTAAAAGTATAATTACTAAAATCATTTTAAGATAACAAGGTACATTTTCTTTATACTTTTAACATTGGAAAAAGCTCTCTAAATATGACCACAGAACTCAGAAGCTATAAAACAAAAGGAAATTAAATTAAAAAATTTTAATCCTATATGGCTCAAAATGCCAAAAAAAGTCACAAATGAAAAATTATGAGAAAACACTTGTGATATATATAGTATAAAAAGATACTTTACCTAATATGAAAATAGTCCCTAAAAATCAGTAAGAAAATACTTACCACCAAATAGAAAAGTGGAAAAAAGGGCCAAATAAAAAATTCAAATGTATTTTAAACATGAAAAGATGTTCAACCTTAATCATAATGTAAGAAATATCATGTTACAAGGATATACCACTTTTCACCTATTTGATGAGCATGCTGAGAAACTTTGATAATTCACTGGGTAAGCAAAGGTGTGAGGAAACAGGCTTTCATATGTAGCTGTGGAGTGTATGTTAATCAAAATTTGTGGGCTCCTATTAGGCAATTATCTATTAATAAAGTGTACACATGCTTTAAACCAGCCATTCACCTTTTATTTAACACATATAATTTCACATGTGCAAAATGAACATAATTACAAGCATATTCACTGTTGCGTGTGTATAAACCCAAAAGAATGGGAAAAAAATTTAAATGTCCATTGAGAAAAAAATGGTTACATAAATTTGGTATGTCCATAGAATAGAATAATAAGGAACAGTTAACGATAATGAAGAGCTCCACAGGTATTGATACTAATAGGGATGATCCTGTGGGTACAGTAAGTGGAAAAAGCAACAGCATCTTCTGGATGCAACTATATCCATATTTATGTCTAAATAATGATTTATATGGTTTTATACACATTGATTGTTCCTGGATGGATTCACAAGTAACAGGTGAAGGCATGCCTCCTGAAAAGAGTAAGTGGCTGAGGTGAGCACAGGGTTAAGACTTTTCACCATGTGCCATTTTACCTGTTTGCAATTTTGTAATATGTATACATACATTAAATTAAAATTATATCATTCCACACACAAATATTAAATGTTTTATTGTTTTCTGTCCAAAGTTACAGACATATCTGAACAAATAAAATAATCAGTTATCAAGGAAAATATAAAAACACAATTCTTATATATGTATAATGTGTTCACATTAAAGTTAGATTTGTTCTTTAACAATAAAATTATCATATAAACTATGCCTCAAAGTTTTTTAAGGATTTATATTTTCTGCCTTACTGAGTGGTGGCTGTATTAGAGAAAGGGCAGGTCTGTCTTTTTCATCACAAATTGCAAGATTAGGTGATTCAGTAGTCTTTTGTATATTAATTTTGAAAACCGCTGTTTTCCAGTCCTGTATCCATAGTTACTTTACTTAAAGTGTTGTGAGAAAGGAGATTGTCTTCTTTAAGCAAAGCTTCTAAATAACTGTCAATCTGCTCCAGGTCTCCTGTTGGACCACCCTGAAAAAGAGAAGCAGCAGTCATAGCAAGAGAGGCTGCTACACATTTATTCCTGTAATCTGGGCGACTTCGGGACAGTACTATGATTCATGTGGCAACAAAGCCTACCTTGCATCTGAATGATGTTTTTAACCTTTCAAAATGTTTGTGCATTTAATCTCATTTTATGCTCAAAAGTGGTTTAGAACTTGGACCATTTTATTTTCTTTAGTGGAGGTGGAGGTTAGTTCAACTGGGGTTTTCCTTCTGTTTAATTACTCGTCATATTTCTAAAGCCCTCCTTCAACCTCCAGCTCATTCTTCTCTGTTACAGGCCCTCATCTCCCATTTTAAAATTCATAAATCTCTAGCTTTGTAGGTAAAGAGATGACTAGGCACATTTTTACTTCTCTATTTCTCCTTTTCCCTCTGAAGCATCTTTTCCCACAACCCTAGGCTTGCTGCCATGATCTGTCCCCGTTTCTCTCTTTCCCCCAGTTCTCTACTGGGGTGATTTCAGGCTCTCCTTCCCTGGGCTTCTTGATACATGAACAGATGGACAAATTCCCATGTCTGGTGCCACTATCCTAGTTTCTCCATCTGTTATCTGGTTCTGCTAACTGTCTTTCTCCTTTGCTTTCTCTGCCCTAGATTTGCTCAGTCCCCTAACCAGGCTGAGTTGTACAGAGTCCCAGCTTTGTGACTGGGACCCTGCTCCTGAAGACAGGTTTCCATATATGGACATATACTGACGCTGAGGGATGCCTGGTGTGACCCTTTCTAACACTGATTGCTCTCAGGCTGTTCAGCCTAGTCAAATCCTTTGCCTACTGCTCCCTGCATGAAACACACTATAGACTTCCTCCTAGGTGTTCAGGTTGGGTCTGCCCCAGCTTCCTCCTGAGGCTGCCCCATCCACCTTCCTGGGGGTTGCCTCATCTCACGTCTCTGCCCTATTCTACTGCAGTTGCTCTAGCAGTCAGAGGCAATGAAAATGAAAATTTCAAGTTCGGGATGAGAGTAAATGTATTTGGGCAGGAGCCCTTTGGTGTCTCTCCAATGATACTAGAATAAGCATTTCATCTCTGCTCTAGTAAGCCCTTCACCTCCTTACCAAACGTTGTAAATAAAGCAAATTAAATTAATGCAATTATTTTGGGAACCCAGGGGTTTGGTAGAGGGAAGAGTAAATAATTATTCTTTCATTTTTCTCCTAAACAAACACAGGTTTGCTATTAGGAGAACCAAATTTTTATGAACTTTTCAGCTAGATGGCGGTATTTGATTTCTAGAATACAGAATCCCTTTGGTCCCTCTAGCTTTTCTTGTTAGTAAACCACCAACCATCACTGAAACTTTACCAGGTGCCAGGCTCCACGCCAGGCCTTGTGCACATAACACTTGCCACCATGTATAGATGCAAGGACGAAAAGGAGCTCCACTCAAATCTCACTTGTACAGCAATAAACAAACTTGAAAAATTAGCTTAGGTAGTATTGTTAACAGGAGCACAAATATAATTACCATTATGGGAAAACAGTCAGCAACACTCATCCTTTTTTATTTTAATAATGAAAACATTTTAACTCTTACTGAGACTACCCAAACTGGGAGGGAGCCTCTCTTTGGCTATATACTTAAGCAAAAGTATTTTCTGTGTTTTATTTCATATTTAATATAAGGGAAAACAAAAGGCACATATTTTTTGAAGGAGGAATAGATCTGAAACCCAGGCAGTCCGGCCTCACAGTCCATCCTCGTCACACAGCACACTGATGTTTGTGGAGTTCCTTTGTCTCTCCCCACCCCCTTCACAGGGAGGGCAGTCCTCCAATCCTCCAGTCTCCAGTCCTCCAGCCCTCTGGTCAAGGGCCCCTGCAGAGCGCTGAACTCCTGCTCGCTCAGCCTGCATGGTCCAGGAGGGCCCTGTCTCCTACTCCAGGCTCAGGGCTATGTCTGCGTACAAAATGCCATGTGCTTCCTAGGCTCAATTTATTTCTAGCATCTATGAAAAGACTTTTCAACTTCACGTATTTATATTTTAATTTTTTACATATTTTATTTTATCCAGCATTTCTATGTGCTATAGAAGATGGACCTTTCTTCATTAGCTCAATCTATAATAAGGCCCAGTTCCTTACATATTCAAATATACAAACAAGATGGACAGTCATTCATACTTACACAGTGTTTCCTGGCCTCTCTAACCTCTCCTCTAAGATTAGAACAATCCTAATCCATTTTTATTTATGTATTGGGGTAAAAATTAACATATTTTTGTTGTCTGAAAAAATTAGGAAAAAAATTTTCTACTGGAAGTATGCTAGGAGGAGACAGGGTGATCAAACTATACCAAAAGCACAAGCAAAACATCTGATTTTTTTAAGAGAAAAAATAATAGGCCCTTTAAAATTTTTCTAATATATACTTTCCAAGTTCATTTATGAGTTCCATATATTCATAGGGAGGGAAACAGCTAGGTTAAGTGACTTGTGCCAAGTCAGTAAGTGCATATGACGCTAGGAGGGGAAGTTAGCTGAGTTCTCTTTCCACAGAAATACATTCCTGTAACTCAAATAAAATTTCATTACTTACCAGCTTAAGTTTCTCCAACAATACTGCCAGTTTTACACGAAGATTATTAAGTTTATCTTCAGTAACTTTTCTTTTTCTTTCATATTGTCCCACAGATATTTCATTAACCACTCCTCTTCTATTTGCATCACAGATAATGGACAGCATTTTTTTCTTTAGTTTTTTTTCATATTGAATCATGTAAATATTCTGCATCTGCAAATGATTTTAAAAGCAGTTCTAGGGTATTTGTAAAATATTAATGTTCTCCCTACTATCAGAAAGCAATTTCATATTCTAATTCTGCACAACACACAAAGCGTCAGCTCTGTATGTGTATGTACTGTAAGTGGTCTAAATTGAAGACATGTTGATACCCTTATGGAACTTACAATCTGACGGAAGAGGAAGAGAGAGGAGGAAAAATGTGTAATGGTCCACTAACTATAACATAAGGATGAAAGAGGCACATAAGTGGGCTTGGAGACCCTTGCTTTGGAATGAAGAAAGAACCCAGTAAAGATTTTGTCTTCCCACTAGTGATACCAGATTATTCAGGGCACAGAGGGCAGGTGGTGCCTGCTGCCCCCTTTGCACAGCACTAGGAACTCAGAGGCAATGACCAAATGGCCAGTACCTTGGGGCTTTCCTGGAAGATGATGTCCGGTTACCCAGAACTCAAGTCTGTAGCATATGGAAGGCATAGAAGCTCCAGTAAGAATTCCTGTTCTGTCACTTCTGCTAATATGCAGAGTATGGACATATACTTAGGCATATGACCTTTGCTAATTCAAGAGTCTTGGTTGTTTTCCATGAGCTCATGTTGTGCCTGAGGCTCTCAGAGCAAAAAGAGGTAATACAGAGGCCAAATGCCTCAATTTCAAAATTGCATTAATTGCTTGTATCAACATTTAGAGAGGGCCAGGGGACATTCTGAGAAAAGAGATACAGAGGAAATCTTGTTTTGACAAACATTTGATGATTCTTTAATAAGGAAATTTCAGGCTTCTAATATAACTTGGATTCCAGGAAAATGGTAGGTAGCCTTGTTTGTCTTCTGAGTCTACCCTTCCCCACCGTCCCATCCTCTACCACACTCATTACTACATACAGGCCCTTGCCAGACATTGTCCACATCACCCCCTTTAAGCATTCACTGACCCCATAAATTTCTCCTCTTTCTATGTAAAATCCTTTAAACAAACAAAACCCTACATATATTGAGTTCTCTTTAATTCATTATTTCCTAAATTCAATGCATTGAATTTTATTATAGGTGATACAAAGATACATAAGTTTCAGTCTTTGTCCTCAAGCTTCTAGTCTATAGTATGAGGAAATACAAGTATGCAAATACTGTATCTTATCGAAGACAGTGCACTGTGCCCCAATTAAGGCACAGATATTACTGGAATTGAGGGAAGGGTGTGGATTTTCTATTAAATTAAAGAGCATTAGAGTCCCATTTTAAAGTACCTGACTTAGATTTACATCAGGAATTTACCCTCCAATTATTTATGCTTTTCATGTGATGTAAACTGAGGGGAGTATTTGGGTTCAGGGCCCCAAATACAACTCTATAGTGACAAACATGGGCTCTGTATGTGTGTTCTATTAAATGTGAGACTTAGTTGTGAGGCTTGCAGAGCACCATGTAAAGAAATCTTGGCTTTTCAGTCTTAAATGGCCTGGATGCTTCTATGAGAGCTCCAGGAATTAAACTGTGAAATATAACTGTGAAGCCTGGTTGTGAGTTATAGGCCTCATTCTTCCAGGAATATACTCATCCTTTCCTGCCTCAGGCTGTTCAGTCTTACTCCTTTCTCTGATTAAACTCAACCTGGTATCTACAAAAGGCTCACTTCTTGCCTCACATCTGTGTTGAGACATGGCTCAGACATTCCTTGTTTACCGTATCTAAAATAGCCTCCAGCTTCACCAACAAACCATCACTATTCCCTGGCCCTTTACAATCACTTTATGGCACATCACATTATGTGTTTGTTTACTTAAATATTTAGCATCTATTATGTGATATTGCATTGTGTTTTGATTGTTTATTATCTTTCCCTCTACAATGAACCTCAATGTAAAACGAAATTGATTTTGTTGAGCTCAGTATTTCCAATGCCTGCCACACAGTAAGCACTAACTAGTGGAGTTTTAGGAGAGCAGATGTGCGACATTCACAGCAAAGGCATTTCAAACATGTGGACCTATCCTGCCTTGAAATCCAGGCTCTATTCTGAGTTCTTGGAGGGAATCCACTTTCAAATGTCTTCAATTCAACTTATAAGAAGTTGATAACTTGTATTAAGGCAACAACTACCCCACCAGGGATATTGCTGTCAGACCCAGAGAGTGACACGTTCTGCTCTGCTGGAGTGAGGAGGACAAGGCCACAGACAGTTCAGGTGTCACCAGCCACCTAGGTCTTAGTTTTCAGAACTCTAGAATTGTATAGCTTTTGCCATCCTGAATAATAGACAGGAAATACTTTTTTGTAAAAGCAACAACAAAAAAAATTAAAATTAAACAGAAATATAAAATATCGACATTATTACAAGAAAAATAGTATTGTTCATCAGCAATGAGAACACACTTTTGATTTACTTGAATGGATTCAAAGGGCATTGTGCTGAATAAAGCCCAATCATAAAGAGACATACTTTTATGCTATGACTCCCTATCTATAACATTTCTGAAGTGACAAAAATTGCAGAGATGGAGAACAGGTTAATGGGTGCCTGGGGTTAAGGGTGTCTGTGTTGGGGACGGCGATGGCGGGTAGTAGGGGGGAGATTATAAAGGGATGCACAGGGAGGTCTCTGTGATAATGGGAGCTCTGTATTCTGTTTTGGGCGGTGGTAGCACAAATCTACACATATGATAAAATGAGACACATTTTACCAATTTCAATTTCCTGGTTTAGATATTGTACTATAATTACATATTTATGTAAGACATATGCACTGAGGAAATTGGGTGAAGGGCACATTGGACCTCTCTACTATTTTGTAATTTCCTGTGTGTCTACAAGTATTTCAAAATAAAAGGTTCATAAGACAACATTGTTAATACAGCACACTAAGAATGTTAATGTAGCACACTACATTCAAAGTCATATTTAATCTCAAAGTTTACTATTTTGTAACTAGCTATATTCTGTTTAAACACCACCATTCCATTTCCAGATTTATTCTTTTGCATTTCTCAGCTAACATCTCCAGGTTGTTACTATAAATGGTAGCATTTCTGACATCTTTTAAATTTCAATGTAAAAGAACTTCAGATAGAATTAACATTTTAATAAAGGTGAGTAGAGAATTGCAACGAGATGAGAGGCTTCATTCTGCTGGTTAAACCTAGTCTTTAGAGGTATTTGTGGTGGATCAAAAATTGAATTCTTCCCAACCTCCATTAATTTAGAATGGGATTAGGATTTGAAAGAAAGGACATTCAACTGAGATTTTCATTTTCTGCCTTGAATTCGAAAAGTTAGAGCTCTAGCAGCTCTGGTGCTCCAGAATTCTAGCTGGTTTACATAAAGTAAGGCAAGTCTATAAGATCTATGGATTTTGTACCCTACTTAGAGGGATATGCAGTGAGTGTCCATGAGGACAGGCAAAAACTTCAGAAACAACTTTGATTCAATGCACAAGCAGTAAGGTCCAGATGCATTCAAAGGTACCGACTGAATGCTACCAGGACACAGAATTTACAAGATTGCTAACTTCAAGAATTCTTTAGTTGGAGAGAAAATAAAATACAGCAAATTACTACAATACTAAGCAGAAAAGTTAATGAATGCTAAAATAGGGTTCTGCAGTTTTCTCAGACACATGAAGTCAAGATTATTTTCACATAGAGAGACTGAAGCAGGCTAGATTTAGAAGGTAGAAATAGCCAGGCTCTACATAGGGTAGACAGGGTTTCAAGAGGCCAACTGTGGATTGGGAGAGTAGGTAAGAGTATTCGGAGGAACCTGGGGAAAAGCTAGGAAAAAGACAAGGAGGTAGGCAAGTCCAGTAGGCTGGAGCCAGCTCCAATTTGGCTTGTGAGAAGAAAGAATAAAATACAGTGGTTCTGGTCAGCATATACAGCAAAAGTCATGAATCATTTGCTACTCTAATAATAGTTATGAAAACCGCTGATGTGGTCAGGGTGAGATGAACAAAGAAGCCTGTAACTTATTAAGGGCTTAATTTGTCCTCTACATGGATTTCAAGAAATGATTTTTAATAGCTTTTGTAAGCATCTACCTAAAACTACCAATCATTAATAAAGTCCTTAAGACCATGAAGTTTCATGTTAGGGAAGTTGATTCGTATTGTTCTGCATTTTGCTTGCAATATCTTAGTTCCAAGAGAAACTCATGATTTCCTGACTGTTCATCTTGCTTTGATTCTTTCAATCCCACTTGCCCTGAATATTAAGAGGACTCTACTTATCATCTATGCTAACACTGCTCACCCTGAATGAATACTTATCTTATTCAGTCTGGCCTCCAAGACCCAACAATCTGTCTCCATTACTGATAGTGCAGACATTGGAAATATATCACTTAGAAACAGACATGAAGGACATATTTTAAGCTTGGATAAACTAAGGTGTATGACAATCTAATTATTAGCAACTTCCTATTTTATAGTGTAAACATTTAAATCAGAGTTCCCTAACCAGGAGATGAAGATCTGTGGGAAGATCCAAGAGTCTTCCTGGTAATTCTCCAAGCTAGCTGCCACAGACTTACAGTTGGGACAATTTCTGGTGGGACACTAAACAGTTTGCCTATCACATATCCCCTGACAATTTCACCTCCCCAATAAACATGTAATTATGTAATGTCAAGTTCTCTAGTAAGTAAACAATAATTCTTTTATATCAACAGGCTGAGAAGCTATAGTAGGCTTACTACAAGTAATACATGCTAACTATCACAAGGATAAAGTATTAGTTGGAATAAGATTAAGTTATAAGAAAGTGGTGTAGTGAAAAGAGCTTTGGAATGGGACAAATCTGGTTTCCAATCCTGAATCTGCTACTTAAATTTGCATCAGGGCATTGGGATATTATCTGATTCTCCATTTCCTCATTACTAACAGGGCACTTACTTACCAAAGTTGTGAGAGTTAAATGAGGAACTGCATATAAAATGACTAGTTTAACTCCTGTCTCTAGTGGCTTTTGATCAATCATAGTTTTATAATTGTTAATGAAAAATAGTAGAGCTGGGATAGGGTAAAAAATATATTGAAAGAAAACTGTGTTTACTGTAATTAGGAAACAATGACATGTCTTCAAGCTGAAAATATTCCATTACTCCCTTTTAAACAAAACATTTAGAAAATAAACTCATGTTTCAGTTAAACAATCATGGGAAGCTAAGAACTACAATACTCTTTCATTTCCAGTTGCTTCTCACATTCCAGTAGGCACTCAGCCAGAAATATCAGAAGCAAATACATCAACAAGGATGTCGGATTCAGGCACACCCTAAGATTCAAACACTTGGTGATGCAGCCTTCCTGAGAAGGAATTTGGGTTAGCTTCTAATTTCATTTCAAGTTTGGCTAGTCGTAGGTCTTTGGGGACTGCTTCACAATTCTATTTCATTTATAAAAACAGGAACAAATAAACTCCATTCCCTCCAAAAAATGAGGCATTGCCTCTGCTTATAGCTGTGCTTTGCACAGTTTCAGGAGTACCATTCACCTGCTAGCCTTCATAGATTTGAATGTTTTTATGACAGTTTTCCAAAAGATGGCTGTAAGCATAAGCACTTGGAAGAAGATGCTAGAATATGTGCTATCTTACATATTCAAATATACAAACAAGATGGACAGTCATTCATACTTACACAGTGTTTCCTGGCCTCTCTAACCTCTCCTCTAAGATTAGAACAATCCTAATCCATTTTTATTTATGTATTGGGGTAAAAATTAACATATTTTTGTTGTCTGAAAAAATTAGGAAAAAAATTTTCTACTGGAAGTATGCTAGGAGGAGACAGGGTGATCAAACTATACCAAAAGCACAAGCAAAACATCTGATTTTTTTAAGAGAAAAAATAATAGGCCCTTTAAAATTTTTCTAATATATACTTTCCAAGTTCATTTATGAGTTCCATATATTCATAGGGAGGGAAACAGCTAGGTTAAGTGACTTGTGCCAAGTCAGTAAGTGCATATGACGCTAGGAGGGGAAGTTAGCTGAGTTCTCTTTCCACAGAAATACATTCCTGTAACTCAAATAAAATTTCATTACTTACCAGCTTAAGTTTCTCCAACAATACTGCCAGTTTTACACGAAGATTATTAAGTTTATCTTCAGTAACTTTTCTTTTTCTTTCATATTGTCCCACAGATATTTCATTAACCACTCCTCTTCTATTTGCATCACAGATAATGGACAGCATTTTTTTCTTTAGTTTTTTTTCATATTGAATCATGTAAATATTCTGCATCTGCAAATGATTTTAAAAGCAGTTCTAGGGTATTTGTAAAATATTAATGTTCTCCCTACTATCAGAAAGCAATTTCATATTCTAATTCTGCACAACACACAAAGCGTCAGCTCTGTATGTGTATGTACTGTAAGTGGTCTAAATTGAAGACATGTTGATACCCTTATGGAACTTACAATCTGACGGAAGAGGAAGAGAGAGGAGGAAAAATGTGTAATGGTCCACTAACTATAACATAAGGATGAAAGAGGCACATAAGTGGGCTTGGAGACCCTTGCTTTGGAATGAAGAAAGAACCCAGTAAAGATTTTGTCTTCCCACTAGTGATACCAGATTATTCAGGGCACAGAGGGCAGGTGGTGCCTGCTGCCCCCTTTGCACAGCACTAGGAACTCAGAGGCAATGACCAAATGGCCAGTACCTTGGGGCTTTCCTGGAAGATGATGTCCGGTTACCCAGAACTCAAGTCTGTAGCATATGGAAGGCATAGAAGCTCCAGTAAGAATTCCTGTTCTGTCACTTCTGCTAATATGCAGAGTATGGACATATACTTAGGCATATGACCTTTGCTAATTCAAGAGTCTTGGTTGTTTTCCATGAGCTCATGTTGTGCCTGAGGCTCTCAGAGCAAAAAGAGGTAATACAGAGGCCAAATGCCTCAATTTCAAAATTGCATTAATTGCTTGTATCAACATTTAGAGAGGGCCAGGGGACATTCTGAGAAAAGAGATACAGAGGAAATCTTGTTTTGACAAACATTTGATGATTCTTTAATAAGGAAATTTCAGGCTTCTAATATAACTTGGATTCCAGGAAAATGGTAGGTAGCCTTGTTTGTCTTCTGAGTCTACCCTTCCCCACCGTCCCATCCTCTACCACACTCATTACTACATACAGGCCCTTGCCAGACATTGTCCACATCACCCCCTTTAAGCATTCACTGACCCCATAAATTTCTCCTCTTTCTATGTAAAATCCTTTAAACAAACAAAACCCTACATATATTGAGTTCTCTTTAATTCATTATTTCCTAAATTCAATGCATTGAATTTTATTATAGGTGATACAAAGATACATAAGTTTCAGTCTTTGTCCTCAAGCTTCTAGTCTATAGTATGAGGAAATACAAGTATGCAAATACTGTATCTTATCGAAGACAGTGCACTGTGCCCCAATTAAGGCACAGATATTACTGGAATTGAGGGAAGGGTGTGGATTTTCTATTAAATTAAAGAGCATTAGAGTCCCATTTTAAAGTACCTGACTTAGATTTACATCAGGAATTTACCCTCCAATTATTTATGCTTTTCATGTGATGTAAACTGAGGGGAGTATTTGGGTTCAGGGCCCCAAATACAACTCTATAGTGACAAACATGGGCTCTGTATGTGTGTTCTATTAAATGTGAGACTTAGTTGTGAGGCTTGCAGAGCACCATGTAAAGAAATCTTGGCTTTTCAGTCTTAAATGGCCTGGATGCTTCTATGAGAGCTCCAGGAATTAAACTGTGAAATATAACTGTGAAGCCTGGTTGTGAGTTATAGGCCTCATTCTTCCAGGAATATACTCATCCTTTCCTGCCTCAGGCTGTTCAGTCTTACTCCTTTCTCTGATTAAACTCAACCTGGTATCTACAAAAGGCTCACTTCTTGCCTCACATCTGTGTTGAGACATGGCTCAGACATTCCTTGTTTACCGTATCTAAAATAGCCTCCAGCTTCACCAACAAACCATCACTATTCCCTGGCCCTTTACAATCACTTTATGGCACATCACATTATGTGTTTGTTTACTTAAATATTTAGCATCTATTATGTGATATTGCATTGTGTTTTGATTGTTTATTATCTTTCCCTCTACAATGAACCTCAATGTAAAACGAAATTGATTTTGTTGAGCTCAGTATTTCCAATGCCTGCCACACAGTAAGCACTAACTAGTGGAGTTTTAGGAGAGCAGATGTGCGACATTCACAGCAAAGGCATTTCAAACATGTGGACCTATCCTGCCTTGAAATCCAGGCTCTATTCTGAGTTCTTGGAGGGAATCCACTTTCAAATGTCTTCAATTCAACTTATAAGAAGTTGATAACTTGTATTAAGGCAACAACTACCCCACCAGGGATATTGCTGTCAGACCCAGAGAGTGACACGTTCTGCTCTGCTGGAGTGAGGAGGACAAGGCCACAGACAGTTCAGGTGTCACCAGCCACCTAGGTCTTAGTTTTCAGAACTCTAGAATTGTATAGCTTTTGCCATCCTGAATAATAGACAGGAAATACTTTTTTGTAAAAGCAACAACAAAAAAAATTAAAATTAAACAGAAATATAAAATATCGACATTATTACAAGAAAAATAGTATTGTTCATCAGCAATGAGAACACACTTTTGATTTACTTGAATGGATTCAAAGGGCATTGTGCTGAATAAAGCCCAATCATAAAGAGACATACTTTTATGCTATGACTCCCTATCTATAACATTTCTGAAGTGACAAAAATTGCAGAGATGGAGAACAGGTTAATGGGTGCCTGGGGTTAAGGGTGTCTGTGTTGGGGACGGCGATGGCGGGTAGTAGGGGGGAGATTATAAAGGGATGCACAGGGAGGTCTCTGTGATAATGGGAGCTCTGTATTCTGTTTTGGGCGGTGGTAGCACAAATCTACACATATGATAAAATGAGACACATTTTACCAATTTCAATTTCCTGGTTTAGATATTGTACTATAATTACATATTTATGTAAGACATATGCACTGAGGAAATTGGGTGAAGGGCACATTGGACCTCTCTACTATTTTGTAATTTCCTGTGTGTCTACAAGTATTTCAAAATAAAAGGTTCATAAGACAACATTGTTAATACAGCACACTAAGAATGTTAATGTAGCACACTACATTCAAAGTCATATTTAATCTCAAAGTTTACTATTTTGTAACTAGCTATATTCTGTTTAAACACCACCATTCCATTTCCAGATTTATTCTTTTGCATTTCTCAGCTAACATCTCCAGGTTGTTACTATAAATGGTAGCATTTCTGACATCTTTTAAATTTCAATGTAAAAGAACTTCAGATAGAATTAACATTTTAATAAAGGTGAGTAGAGAATTGCAACGAGATGAGAGGCTTCATTCTGCTGGTTAAACCTAGTCTTTAGAGGTATTTGTGGTGGATCAAAAATTGAATTCTTCCCAACCTCCATTAATTTAGAATGGGATTAGGATTTGAAAGAAAGGACATTCAACTGAGATTTTCATTTTCTGCCTTGAATTCGAAAAGTTAGAGCTCTAGCAGCTCTGGTGCTCCAGAATTCTAGCTGGTTTACATAAAGTAAGGCAAGTCTATAAGATCTATGGATTTTGTACCCTACTTAGAGGGATATGCAGTGAGTGTCCATGAGGACAGGCAAAAACTTCAGAAACAACTTTGATTCAATGCACAAGCAGTAAGGTCCAGATGCATTCAAAGGTACCGACTGAATGCTACCAGGACACAGAATTTACAAGATTGCTAACTTCAAGAATTCTTTAGTTGGAGAGAAAATAAAATACAGCAAATTACTACAATACTAAGCAGAAAAGTTAATGAATGCTAAAATAGGGTTCTGCAGTTTTCTCAGACACATGAAGTCAAGATTATTTTCACATAGAGAGACTGAAGCAGGCTAGATTTAGAAGGTAGAAATAGCCAGGCTCTACATAGGGTAGACAGGGTTTCAAGAGGCCAACTGTGGATTGGGAGAGTAGGTAAGAGTATTCGGAGGAACCTGGGGAAAAGCTAGGAAAAAGACAAGGAGGTAGGCAAGTCCAGTAGGCTGGAGCCAGCTCCAATTTGGCTTGTGAGAAGAAAGAATAAAATACAGTGGTTCTGGTCAGCATATACAGCAAAAGTCATGAATCATTTGCTACTCTAATAATAGTTATGAAAACCGCTGATGTGGTCAGGGTGAGATGAACAAAGAAGCCTGTAACTTATTAAGGGCTTAATTTGTCCTCTACATGGATTTCAAGAAATGATTTTTAATAGCTTTTGTAAGCATCTACCTAAAACTACCAATCATTAATAAAGTCCTTAAGACCATGAAGTTTCATGTTAGGGAAGTTGATTCGTATTGTTCTGCATTTTGCTTGCAATATCTTAGTTCCAAGAGAAACTCATGATTTCCTGACTGTTCATCTTGCTTTGATTCTTTCAATCCCACTTGCCCTGAATATTAAGAGGACTCTACTTATCATCTATGCTAACACTGCTCACCCTGAATGAATACTTATCTTATTCAGTCTGGCCTCCAAGACCCAACAATCTGTCTCCATTACTGATAGTGCAGACATTGGAAATATATCACTTAGAAACAGACATGAAGGACATATTTTAAGCTTGGATAAACTAAGGTGTATGACAATCTAATTATTAGCAACTTCCTATTTTATAGTGTAAACATTTAAATCAGAGTTCCCTAACCAGGAGATGAAGATCTGTGGGAAGATCCAAGAGTCTTCCTGGTAATTCTCCAAGCTAGCTGCCACAGACTTACAGTTGGGACAATTTCTGGTGGGACACTAAACAGTTTGCCTATCACATATCCCCTGACAATTTCACCTCCCCAATAAACATGTAATTATGTAATGTCAAGTTCTCTAGTAAGTAAACAATAATTCTTTTATATCAACAGGCTGAGAAGCTATAGTAGGCTTACTACAAGTAATACATGCTAACTATCACAAGGATAAAGTATTAGTTGGAATAAGATTAAGTTATAAGAAAGTGGTGTAGTGAAAAGAGCTTTGGAATGGGACAAATCTGGTTTCCAATCCTGAATCTGCTACTTAAATTTGCATCAGGGCATTGGGATATTATCTGATTCTCCATTTCCTCATTACTAACAGGGCACTTACTTACCAAAGTTGTGAGAGTTAAATGAGGAACTGCATATAAAATGACTAGTTTAACTCCTGTCTCTAGTGGCTTTTGATCAATCATAGTTTTATAATTGTTAATGAAAAATAGTAGAGCTGGGATAGGGTAAAAAATATATTGAAAGAAAACTGTGTTTACTGTAATTAGGAAACAATGACATGTCTTCAAGCTGAAAATATTCCATTACTCCCTTTTAAACAAAACATTTAGAAAATAAACTCATGTTTCAGTTAAACAATCATGGGAAGCTAAGAACTACAATACTCTTTCATTTCCAGTTGCTTCTCACATTCCAGTAGGCACTCAGCCAGAAATATCAGAAGCAAATACATCAACAAGGATGTCGGATTCAGGCACACCCTAAGATTCAAACACTTGGTGATGCAGCCTTCCTGAGAAGGAATTTGGGTTAGCTTCTAATTTCATTTCAAGTTTGGCTAGTCGTAGGTCTTTGGGGACTGCTTCACAATTCTATTTCATTTATAAAAACAGGAACAAATAAACTCCATTCCCTCCAAAAAATGAGGCATTGCCTCTGCTTATAGCTGTGCTTTGCACAGTTTCAGGAGTACCATTCACCTGCTAGCCTTCATAGATTTGAATGTTTTTATGACAGTTTTCCAAAAGATGGCTGTAAGCATAAGCACTTGGAAGAAGATGCTAGAATATGTGCTAGTAATAGAGCTGGTGTAGCAGTTTGAGCAAACACAGGTAAAGCGGCAGTGAAGACCTAACATCTCAGTGTTGACCTTGGTGTCATGAAAAGTTCTAGACAGTTATGGCCTCTATGATGAATATGGGAAGCTCAGTGGTTGTTCTGACTCCAACACTAATCCCCTATTAGCTTGGCCAAGTTCACCAACTCCCCAAGTTCTTGGAATCTCAGTTCCTTTGAGTGTAAATTAATGGAGTTGAGGGCATATGATTTATGAGATATTTCTCTAATAGAAGTGAAGACTCTTTGGACTCTTTTCCCCACCAGGAAATATTTAAGAACTAGATATACCATATTATTTGAAAACTGTAAAACAAAAGTAAAAACAATCTACCTAGAGAGAGAGAAAGGCTGTAATGAAATACATCACAATATTAATAGCAGTGATTTTGGGGCAGTTTGGGACTTTGGATAAATTCTTAACTTTCTTTTATTAGCATTAATTATTTTTATAACTACTTTTATAATGAAAATATATTTAAATAACTGTTGATAGAATACTAAGAAAAAATAAAACAGAGAGATATCAAATTATCTTAAATAATTAAAAACTTTAATCCACAAATAACTTCTCATTTAGTCTGGGGTCTCCATGATTCAGTAAGTCTCTTTCTCAAAGACTGAGAATGTCATGTTTCCTGTTCAAAATATAGTCCTACTCCAAGTGCTTCATAAGCTTTCTGCTGTGGAACCATTTGCATTTTAAAATTCAAAAAGATGTTGCTTTGTGACATCTGATATCATACACATTAATCTTAGTTTTGATAAGTGAATGCAAATTTGATTTCCTTCCAAACCTAACATTTGAAAATGTATATTATTTCTCCTTTCGAATATGGGATGATTTAGAATATAAATGACTACACTGAAAGGAAGCTTACCTGATTGAAAACCATTTTCAGCTTTTTGTTTGTCTGCTCTGGGCATTGCTCCAGCTGTTTTTGTAAATGATAGTAGAACAGGATATTAACTTTTAGAGAATGAGCTGTCTATAACACAGTTAAAACATGCAAGTGTCTAGTATAAAAAGCATCAAAGTCAAGAATTGGTCGACATTGGTACTGTGGGTCTTTTAGGCTGGGGTCTAGTTAAATTAATAAACTAAAGCATACCTCATTTCATTCCAAAAAAAGATTACAAAAGCTTATATAATTAACATAATATCATTAACAAAATTTGCAGATAAAAAATCAAAGTGAAGGAAAAGCAAATGTTAATAAATATTCAAAAAGCTATCGGGAAGGTAGTTGGGAATCTCAGTGTCTTGGATGGGAATGCCACAGTAATAGAGTAGGAGTCCCTGGCATATGAAATAGTATTTAAAGTCAGAGACTAGCTGAGGTCATCTAGCAACATCACCTAACAGAGTGAAGGAAGTGGTCCCGGAATGAGCCCTCAGACATGACGACATTTAAAAACTGAATAGAAGGAGTTGCCAGCAAAGAAGGCAAGAACAGAGGGAAGAAAGAAAATAGAAGTGTGTTATGGAGGTTACATAAAGCTAGAAGCAGTCAGCTGGGTGGGAGGCCTCCTGAGAGGTCAGGTAAGATAAGAAGTGACCCCTGCCTTTGTGAGCACAGTGGTCACTGGGGGCTTCACAAGACAGTCCCAGTGAAGTCAGAAGCCCAAAGGGAGAGGAGGAGGCAAGAGTAGAATCAGAAACAATGAGTACAGACTAGAAAATTAAAGACTTCATCCAGGATCAGAAGAACACAGTGGCACCGCTGTTGAACTAATCATTTGGTGCTCTTTTCACTGGCAGCCTTTCCATGGGTAGCTACACTTTTCAGTAGCAATGCTGAGATGCTGAGTATGGGGGCTGAGGAGGAGCCCTACCACCCTCCTGCACTCTGCAGGCTCATCTCCACTCCTGCAAGCAGCTGTGGCAGCCTCAGACCAGCACCTGACTCAGCTTCACCACAGCCTGAGGGGACCTAGCTGCTGGGGAACTACCCCTTGCGAGCCAGTGTGAGGCTCACCCCATGCACCCCAGGGAGCTGATCAAAGCTTTTCATGGAATGTATATGGTATTGTCCCTGAGAGGACATTTGGTGAATATACTTCATCTTTCCCTGCTTTGTCTCAGTGATTCCAATAAGACTGGTGCTCTGGGCACCTAATATGGCTAACCCACTGAATCCTCACCTCAGCTCCTCATGAAGGTAGCCCAGGAAGTGTATCTAAGGGATAGAAGATATTTTTGGTGTGCGGACGAGAAGTCAAGGACTACGTCCTACTTCTTTTCATCTCTACAACCTCTGTAACCAGCCAGGCTCTAAGTCTGTAAGATCTTCCCAAGGTTTATTTAAACCTGAGTGTTACGGGCTTTAAATGCAGCTTTAATTTGGAGTCATCCATTTGGTATAAAGATGCCCATTTTTGTTCACATAAGCCATTCTAGGTCCTCTTACTGATAACAACATTTTTTCTCCTCTAAGGATTAAATGCAGGATATTCCATCAAAATTCCAAAGAGCCAGCTTACCTCAGAACTTGCTATGAGTTCCTCCAAAGATGTATAGCCAAAGTCTGGTGGTAGCTGATACTCAGGAAAAAAATGTAGAAGAATCTCCCTATAATATAAACACAGCAGAGATGGCAGTACACCAGGAAAAGAAACACAGCCCTCACCCGTCAGAAACGGTTCTGTTTCCTGTGTGTTAAACATCCTGGCAAAGGTGAACATACATACCCGCCAAATAGCGTGTTTACACCTCTGGCATCAAAGTGTTCTTCAAAAACCATAGGCCTGGGAGAGGGAGGTGGGTATGGCTATAAAACGGCAACAGGAAGATGGAATGATTCTGTATCTCGAGTGTGTCAAGGCCAATATCCTAATTGTGATGATGGTCTATAGTTTTGCAAGATGTTGTCATTGGGAGAAACTGGAAAGGCTACAAGGTATCTCTCAGTATTATTTCTTACAACTGCATGTGAATCTTTAATTATCTTAAAATAAAAACTTTTGGGAGGTATGGAGGGAAGAAACAAGTATGGACTCACAGTGCCTGTTCATAACCAAGTAGCCCAGGAAAACCTTGTACCTACTTGAGCGTTCTCAGCAGAGAACTCAGCATTGTAAGATCCTGGAGGGAAGAGGCTGACTACAGGCTTACATACTTTTCCTTAAGAAAATCAAAGAATTGAACTCTCCATAGTGATTCCTTTTATCCAGGCCTCCAGGACTACACTTGGAAATTACATGTGGACCCTAATCTTCCTAAGAGGGAAAAGTGATGGCCATTGTTCTGACAGGTGCTTCATTTTGCCAAAAGGCAGTAGGACCCCATCCTTCTAGTGTGATGGCTTTTCTAGGATTAATCACCTACATAACACATATTTCATTCCTGCAAGAATATGAAATCTAGAAATTTACAGCTACTACATCTTCGAAGTGTATGGTTAGAGTGCTTTTATGTTGACATGTTCCAAGAACTTCATGTGTATTATCCAAGGGATTCACAAAACTTTTCAACTGTAAAATAATATGGTACATAAAAGATAAAACAGCTGTTTCTTATATAATTTACATTACCAGTATTTTAAGCATATATAACTTGTGTTAATATTCATTTATAGTTTTAAGGAGACTCAATCCAAAGAGCAAAAATTCCTCAGCACTGCACAACATTAAATATCTCCCATATACACACACTCCTCCAAATTACTTTCCTGGCTAATAGGAAGATGAGTGGGCTGAGGGAAGGATGAAAAGGGACTTTCAGGTATTTGAGATGAGCAGAAATCAGATGGCATAGAAAACAAAGCTGCAACCAGAGTCTCTGGGGAAGGGGACCTGCAATGTGGCTGGTTTGGTGAGGTGGATGGGATGAGAGGCCTTTTGTACAAACCAGCCCACTGTCTCCCTAAATCTAGACTCTTTTTCTCCAACACAGGGTTGAAAATCTTTCTGAGCATTGGTGCTTTTCATGGGGGGCATAAATTAGATGTAGAGCAAATCAACAATCTTCTAAGGAGGTACTTCTAGCAAAACAAGTGTCAGGTGGTGATGGCATTTGGTGAGAAGTGGGACAGGGTGAAGTAAAAGGTCAGGAAGAGAAAAAATTCTGGATTAGTTCTTAATTTGTGGAATCTCTACATCAAAATTTACACCAAACACCATCTATAGTCAGAATAATGCCCTACCCATTTGCACCATAATTTCTATAGATAGAAAGTTAACTATTTTAAAATGAAACACACCTTTACATAAAGGTATTACTGGAATCACAATAGCTTTGGCCATGTTGTATTTTTTCAATATACTCAAGCTCATTAGTTTCACTAATATTCCCTGAACCCTTACCAAAACACAGCCTTTACCCAGGGGCACCTTCAGAGCCTGGCATTGTGCCTTATGCTAGGAACTCAACACATTGTTATTACACTGAATTCAGGCTGGTGGAGCACACAGACAAGGAAGCAAGCCATTCTGACAGTGTGATGAGTGCTGGGGTGAGAATGGGAATGCAGCACTCACTGTGCATACAGAGAGGAGAGGCCCTAAGCTATAGTAGGGGAGCCCCAAAGAAAGATAGGACTTATCTAGTTGGGGAGGAGGGGGTCCTGGGATGGGGAGAGCACATGAAGGAAGCATTCCAAGCCAACTGCACTACACATTGGAGAACTATTTTCCGATAGTATTGAGCCCCCTGGTCAGATTTAGCCACTCCTACAAAGTGCTAGAAATGTGCTAAGTGTTGCTCTATGCTTTATATAAGCAACTTGATGTGATCTTTATGGAAGCTCTTTGATTCAGGTGTTATTCTTATTTTGGAGCTCTCCTGGTTTCCTGGTTATTAAAGACCCCCCACTCCCACCATCAGACCCAAGCAGGTTCCCTACTCTCCTTCTTTGTCTCTTTCCCTCCAGGATCCCTGGTATTCAGCCTTTTACTCTAGCCTATGTAGAGCTGCTGCTAAATAGCTTTTCCCTTGGAAATTCTGTCCTGCAAGACTGACTGGAGAAGAAGACAAATTATCCAGCTCCTACAGTCTCCAAGCACAAATACACAGAAATTTTCTTTTTCTTTTTCCTAAAACATTAATTCAGGAAAACTACTAGATACCATTTAAAAAACTGTAAGATATCAAAAACCACAAATGCAGAGGCTGAATGAAAATGTTTAAGAGCACTTTAGAAAATTCATCCATTTATTGCCTCAAGTCCCTTTCTTTAATAATATTCTTCAATGATACTTTCTTTTGTTCCTGACAGCATATTTTAATCAAACCTCTCTCCACCCTCAAACTTCGGATTTCCTTTAAAGCAAACTTGGTGATTCTATAATTCTTGAAAGGTCCTTCAAGGAGGTGTGTCAGGAGGTGCTCAAAGCAAACCTATAGGAATAAACGAGTGCCCACTGAATCAAGTGGATGCTGTGCATACTGGGGGATTCATGAACTAAGTGCTGCCATTTCTATGGGACTTTTGTCCCACCAGGAACAACCCTTTTTCTTTTGGAGCATGTACTCAGAATTCTACCCTGAGACTTGATAATAAAATCAGGAATTTGTCTTTGACACTGTCTGTCTTCTCAATAATTTGAGAAATAAATATCCTAAAGATACTCCAGAGTTATGACTTGCATCCAGGACCAGAGCAAGTCCTTGGCTAATGTCCCATCTCAGTTGAATTCCTACAGAACTCATATCCTTCTCTGCAACTTTGAACTGGAAATTTTTATAGAGTTAAACTATGAAACTAACGTACTAACTCAATACTGGTTCTTCTACATCATGGCCAGACTCTGAAAACGTTCAGCTAAGGGTCATTTCCTTTTCACGCCACAGCTGCATTCCTGCCTCAACAGTAATTTTTCCTTAAGAAAAATGTCTTACTTGCATTAATACAGCTCCACTCTTTCTAGACATTAGCAGGAAAACACAGAGGCCCTTGGCCTTTCAGCTGTTCTTTTAAACAGCGACCTAGCTAACAAGCCTGGTCTTGGCTGCAGAGAAGAGCAAACCTCCTCCTTTAGGCAGACCAAAACTCTCTTCTTCAACACAGTCAGAGAGAAAGACGAGGGCAAAATGGAAATGGCAGGGTTCCACTTTTTAATACCGGAATCAGATTATGGTTTTTAACAGATCTCAGTTGCTAGTATGTTTATTTTTGTGACCTTTTGCTTCAGTAAGTGACAGCGAACTGTAAAATGTGACTTTCTTTTTAAAACTTATTTTTAGTATTTTTAAAATTTAAGATAACTTAAAGAATGTCTGAGTTTTTGTAGAGTTGAAATAAATGAAGCCTGCCTAATTGACCATTGAAACAACAAACTGAAACAAGGTTTATAGGGTTAGCAGTTAAAAGCAAGGACTATAAGACCAAACTGCCAGGATTTAAATTCTAGTTCTGCCACCCAAGTAATTTGTATGGGCAAATTACTTAACATCTACATACCTCAATTTTCTCTTCTGTTACATGAGGATAATAAAACAATCTGTTCATAGGGAAGCTGTAAGGTTTAAGTGAGTTTACATCTGCAAAGCCTTTAGGAAAGTGCCTGGCACATGGTAAGTACATAACAATATATTTTTGTTATTATTATTGGAAGTGACTTGAGAGGTTATACTGTTCCAATATTTAGGAGTATCTGATAAAATTTAACAGTCTAGATCTCAGTTTAGCTTATTTATTTCAAACTTAACATACTCAGTTATACCCCATTATTGAATATTTTCTTATCTAGCAATATTACTCACTACTTTTTACATTAGTCTCTTTCAATTTAATTAAAAGCATTCTTTGAATATCTACTAATATGTGAGACACAGTGTGAAAAACCCAATCTGTTCTTTCAAAGAAGTTACTGTATTTGGAGATTAAATAAACTAATACACATAAAACAAAAAATAATAAAAGACAGGAAAATGCTAAGCTGAGCAAAATCAGGTGATGAAAATGGGCAGTGAAAACTACTATGTTTTATTAGTTTATTCCATTAGCATGAACTAAACAGAGATGGCCTGAATGGTAGTGTGGAAAGGGATAAGGACAATGTCGCATCCAAAGGGAACCAAGTGGAGGGAACACTCCATACACTTAAAAGGGTGCTGACCCTTCCGTTTATCATGTGACAAGCAAGTCATATCTGGTGAATAACTGTGAATGTGAAGACCCTGGTGCTTCCACAGTGTACACAGCCGGACACAATCTTTATGCCTTGAGGGATTTAAAGTCTTGTTAACACAAGGAATAACGTGCACCAGATATAGGATAGTGTGGTATAGAAAAGAAAACAACAAAGAAAACAAGAAATCTGTTTTCACTGGTGAAATGTGAGAAAACATACCACATGCTGCTAAAGGCAAAAGAGAAAACTGGTAAATGAGGAGCTCATTCCAGTTAGAGCTTTGTGTACTGTACAGTTCTTTTTCCACTGAATATTTTTATAAAACAATCACCACAAAAAATTCAAGCTGTTACAGAAAAGAGCTGATTCATTTGGCTTTCAGAGTGTTCAGCTGATAATAGTCTGATGATTCAAGCACTAAAGATTCTACCTACTCATTAGGGAGACAGTTTCTGGGAAATTTTAATTTTCTATTGACAATTAAAGAAGTCAATGTCCTTTAAAGTCTTAGTACAATCAATCAGATCATCTCCTTTTTGATCACAAGTAACATTAAAATTAGAAGTAATGATACACTTAGGTGCAGAACAAAAATTAGCTAAGCAAAAACTAAGGAAAATGGATAGATTCCAAATCAGAGAGCCTGGCCTTAAACACAGCCCTGTCCTTTGTAGCTGTGTAACTGTACTTGTGACTTTGAGTGTGGTACTTTGCTTCTCTGAGCTTTGGTATTTTTTTAAATAACACCAACCTTGTTAATTTGTGGGAATAAGGACCTAATGTACACAAAGAAATAGGGTGAATGCCTAAAATTTAATACTGGCTCAAAAATGATTGATACTATTATCAGGAAGGCCTGGTTTATTTGAAGCAATATCGTGATCATTGCGCATGTGGTCCAACCATACATTTTTAATAATATGCACATATTTATTCAGATATACACAGGTACATGAACATGTAATTGATTGCATATTACCATGTCTTAGTAACCAGCTGATATGCCTGAATCTTGGAACTTGTAAATAACAAACCAAGACTAAAATTTATGGCTACTCTACTTCAAAGCTGGGGATTTTATTACATGTTACTGCTGGACAGATACTGACAAAAGATAAGAAACTGGTTGGAAAAATCCCATTCTTTAGGGACTACACTGGAGGCCATGGCAGTATGAGACTGACATCCATCCAGAACAAGTAGCCTTTTTCAACCTCATAATATCTTTACAAGACTGAGGTCTGGCCTGCTTCTGTCCTATTCCCTGGCTGTGTGGGCTTGCCAACCCAGACACTATGGCAGATTTGGTAGTCAGAGCTGAGTGATCAGGAATGTAGCAATTGGTCAACAATGTCTCTGCTTTCCTATTAGAATTAGTGAAAGTGGGCCTTCATGCAAAGTCCAAGACAGAGCCACCTTCATATAACGGGGAGTGCTTCCTCCTTTCTCCTGGGCAGGATGGTGTTAGGAGTGTGCTCCTCAAGGAGAGCAGGTGCATCCTTCATGCCCATGTTAGCACAGCCCCACTGCCCTGGATTCTGCCACATACCTTCTAGAGAGCCCAAGACAACTACAGAACTAGTTCCTTACAGTGGTTTGAACCTACTTTCACACACGGGACCATACTCTGGGCCTGAATAGAAGCTATCATCCCCTAGATACATGCCCCACCTCTACCTTTCTTTTCCTTCTTACCTGCTTCTATTCTTTGCCAACTGTCTTCTTCAGGACGATTTTGTTGGTCATGATCAGAAAGTCAGATTTTCCTAAGGAGAAGCATTATTCCAGCTAGGGCATGTTGTGTATTCTTGTCTGAAAGCTTTTTACTTTACACAGGCCCCTTACAGTCTGTGAACCCCAAACAAACCAACTGGCTGTGCTGATTTGGTGGTATTATTGTTTCTGCCTCTCACCCACACATGGGACACCTATTTCAGAGCACTCTGCTGTATACTAACTTCTTTGGCTTCACCATAAAGCCCCTCCTATCACGGGTCCTATTTGGAAAAACTCCGAATCCTGGAATTTACTCTCTCTTGTCTCCATCCTTTGAGGCCTGAGATCCAAATGTCTAAACTCCTTATTAACTATGCTCACAAATGTTACCATTTTCCATTGAACCAAAGAGTAAAACTCAAGTTTCCCCCGGTTAGTTTAGTATCTCAAGTTGCAAAAGTGACTTTCTAGAAGGCCATACAAATGCCATGAGGGTCTTTGTGAGGCAAAAAATAAGAAAGAGAAAGAAAGGAAGAGAATGAAAAAGAAAGAGCGTGGGACGGAGAAAGAAAAAAGAAAGAGAAAGAGAGAAGAAAGGAATTCAGTAAGGCAAATTCAGTAAGAATTCTTCATAATATTCAAGAGAAGACAAATATCACCATATAGCCAGACCATGTAACAATGGGTAGTTAGTGGCTGTTACTCTGTTTCAAGGGACATTTAACCCGCGGTACATCTAAATCCATGTAGTTAGGGAGACAAGTCATAAAGCCATTCTGCTGAATTCCTCAGTAACATTACCACTCAACGGGAAAACATCGGACATTGTCACTGCCTGAAAGTGCAACAAAGCCTATGGACACGTTAGCATATATCTTTACCTTAAATTAGACGTCAGTTTTCTTACTGTCTCCTTGACAGATGTGCTTTGAGAAGACTTTGCCAGGGAAGAGGCAAATTCACAACCACCACTCACAGGAACTTCTGCTTTGTGTCCAGAACTTGGACTTAAATCTTCCGTGGGCACACTGCACAAAAATAAGCTGAAGTTTATCATTTCAAAGTAGGAATCTTCTTAACTACCAATAAATTCAGAAAATTAACATATGACAAATGAAATGTTAGCTAAGAACAAATGAAGCAAGGCCATAAAATGTAATGATGAAATTGCCAGTTACGTAGTAATACAAAATCAATTCTCAGTTAGAAGAATTATTATTTATTCCTGACAAATCTTGTTTCAAAGTTTTGTGTAGCCACAATTAAGAAGAATTGGTAGTAATTTATTCTTAACAAAAGCAGTCATACACTATTTATTATTTGCTGAAAGATGCTTTTAAACTAAAGTTCTATATTAGCCTGGGGGAAGGCACATACAGAAATAAAACAAAAAAGGGTCAAAGTCAGTTGAAAGAACTATTTAGCCAAGATCTGGAAGAAGAAGAGTGTTCAAGTGAGGTGTAATGATATGGGATCAAAATGAGGAAGGGCTGTTTAGAGAAAGAGAAGACAGCGCTCTTGGGGAGGACTGAGCACAAAGGAGAGAGAGAGAGAGAGAGAAAGACAAGAGGAGAGGCTGGCACTTGGGCCATGGGATGGGGTCTGGAGTTTGTTCTCTATTTATTATTATTTACTGAGCAAAGCAGGCACCCCCACTGCAGGGTTTCTTACATGGAAACAAGGGGATCTGATTCGTATTTTAAAAGGAAAACTGGCTATAGCACAGAGAATAACTGGCAATGAAGATGCATAAAGTAACATGGTATTGATGAGACCCAAAGCTTTCAGTATGGTAGGAACAAAAAAGTTTGAGAGGGCTGGAGTATATGCAATATAGGAGACAAAGCCAGGTGGGAAGTAGGGTGAGATCACCCAGGGTTCTGTCTGCCAAGTAATAAGGAGATTTTTGTAGTTTTTTTATGCTAATGTCCGTAAATTAAGACCGCAGCCCTAGTGAGTTTTAGAAGTTTACACTGTATGAGCCTTTTAAAAATTGGATAATAGTTTATGTCAAATGGAAAGTACTTCTGCTTTCACAGTTCTTTAGCATTAATTATACTAACTTCAGCTGATATTTGTTTAAGATTAAGAGCATTATAACTAATGCTTAATTGTCTGTTAAGGAATACTTGCACAATGTCTGAAGTCCATTAATTATAATCTCCTTAATGCTGAAATTTTATTAAAGATGTCTTTACATTTTTTTTTTTACCATTTTGGGGATGCGGGAATTCACACTGGTGTTGGGGGTGGAGGGTAAATTGCACTACACCAGAGCACAGAGATTCCAGGCTGAACCTGTTTCTCCTTCTGCCAAAAAATAGTGCCTACCTCACAAAGCCATGTTAAGGATTAAACAAGAAATATAAAGAATTTAGCTCAATGCTTACTATTGGTAGGTGCTCAGTAAATAGTACTTAATTATTATTGTTATGATCATCTTTATTATCACTATCACTAGTGATATCATTTGACAAGATTCTTCCATTAAGACTGTTCTAACTGGACCATAGTTCTAACATTCATATTGTAGTTACAATTCAAAAATGATGAAAATAAAACAACCTCATAAAAGCCTAGAAGTAATATTAATTAAATAATAGACAAAAACATACACAATGTTTTAGTTTTTGGATGGATCTTAAATTTTAACTCAAATTTTAATAAATAACTCTAGGTTAAAGTATTATCCCTAAAACTTAGTAGTAACAGCCCTGGAAAAAAACAGCATCATTTATTCAATCAACAAATATTACAGAATGCTGACTTTGAGTCAGGTGCTTTTCTGAACCCTAAGGATGCAGAAGTAAGCAAGAGAGCCCCTGCTTTCATGGAGTGGGTTAGCATCTAGTGAAAAATACAGAAAATAAGAAAGCTAGAGTGTAAACTCTGAGTAGATGTAAATGATTGTAGTAGAGGCTCTGAAAAAAATTAAAACAGGATATACAACTTGATAGTGAGCCTTGTCAGAATTGGGGTGGACTATTTTAGATGGAGTAGCCAAGGAAGACCTCTCAGAGGCTTAGAGTTATGAGGAAGGAAAGATATGGCCCCTGTTCCTAATGAAGCTTAAATGCAATGGGAAGAGAGACAGACAGTTCCACTGGACTGTGAAGCATTGCTCATCATTGTGTGTCAGAACATAGCTGGTATTTCACAAGTAATTACCGAAGCTGAATGAATTATGATGCAATATGATCACTGCACTGCAGACTCTGTGAATACCTGAATTTGCATGGGAGAGTTGGGGGACCCCAAAGGAAAGAACACTTGAACTGAAACTTGAATGAAAGGGTACAGACTGATGTGCAAGTTTCAGAGGGCATTCAAGCAAAGAACTAGTGTGGGCGGAGGTGGCAGTAGGTGACAAAAGAGAACTATTAGTAATTTAGAAACTCTGAACAGAAACATGGGGGCAAAAGAGAGAGGTGGGAGTGAAGAGGACTTTGTAACTTATTTTAAAAGTGACATGGCTAGGAAAGGCTTTTGAGTAGAAAAGTGAAGTCATGGGATTTGCATGTTAGAGTGACTATTCTGTCAGCTAGTGCAGGAAAATAAAAGCTCTCCTCTGTTTTGTCTTACACTTAATTCACTGTGCTTTTACAAAAAAATAGCACAGGATTTAGATTCAGAGACAGTGTGTCTGATTGCCTGGAAAGCAGCTTAGACAGGAAGGTAGTGAGTGGTGAGATAAGAACTGGCTTCCTTGAAAATATTCTTTCCATTCTATTGGGCATCCAAAACATTTAGCTGATTTTATTTTAAAAGTGACAAAAGTCTCAAGTCAAGAAAATTCGAGCATGCAATGATTATTATAATTACATCTATATATATGACAAGGAGATAATGGGCCACCCACAAAAAATGGGCCATGATTTCATAGCCATATATATGTGTGCATGACATTTTTAGTTCTTTGACTACATTACAGTAATATGAATTAGTTGCTTGCTGTGAGTACAAAGTTAAGTTTGTTCCATTTCATTATTCCAAAATCCTCACAAAAGAAAATGAAAAGGTTTGGGGAAAAGGTGAGACATCTACTACATTCTGATCTTTCTTGCTTTCTTTGTAAAATCTGCTTCCATTCTTAATTGCCTTTGCTTATTGCTATTATTTTCTTTCTTCTTGTATTTAAGCATTGATAATTACTTTTCAACAGTATAATTTCAGTCACATGGAATTTGTATAACTGCAGTAAACTCACCTTTCCCAGTTAAGCAATGAAGAGTTTCTCTTTATTTCTGGAGTATCACTGCACAGTTCCTGTTTTTCTTAGAAAGCACATAGACAAAATGAAGAACTGCATTTTTATGATCGCACAATAAAGTGAACTGCAAAGAGTGTTCGTACTTCATTAACTACTCGTATATAATTTGGCTTTGTATTCAAACACTCTTTTGTTAAAATTACACCAATATGTACTTAAGGCAATTTATTATAATCTTCTTATGAAGTGTAGATAGTGTGTATAATAATTCAAAGGCCTCTGTAACTTGTTTTTTGTAATTTATTTTTAATGATGCTTATTATCTGCTATTGGTGTGTACAGGGTGCCTGATTGGGACTGTTCAGATTTCCTTCTCTCACCAGCCTCTGCCCAGGCAATCACCTGTCTTCCCCTTAGTGCCATACTCTGTTCACTTTGCATTCAGGTTCAAAGACATCCTGACAGTTCCCAGCAGAAATATGTCCCCACAGGAGAGTCAGACTTAAAGCAGGTAGAGACCTGGAGACATCTAGTTGGTCTTCTCAGAGAACCTCAGAATCGTAGGTACAGAAAGGTTATAATTTGCTTAGTCCACAGAGATGAAGAAATGCTTTGATCTTCCTGGATTGATTTTTTAGAGATTCTTAGGGACAGTGTAAGCAATAAGTCAGTGTGTTCTTCTTCCATCTATCTCTAGAATTCTTTGTGATAAGTCTCCAAATTTATTGTTCCACCAAGTAGATAAACCCTTGCCAACAAGTGTAGGGCCACTGTAGGCCAAATGGAACAGGACAGCAACAAGGAAAGCTTCGGATGGTGGGTAAATGGCTGAGGATCTGCCTGACTCCTTTAAGGAACTATAAAAGGGAACAGACAGTTTTTCCAAGCACACTGCAGGCACAGTTAGTTTTATTCACTGACTTGCATACAAAGTGGAATTTTTTAACCCAACAGCCAAACTAATCCATAATTATAGTCATTTAAAAATATTTCACAATTTGTTCCTTCCAAACCCAGGATAAAAGTATTTGAAATTAAATATTAATTTTTGGATCAAAATTGTATTAACAATTTTTGCATTACAATTTGGAAATCCAACAGACACTTGAAGTCATGTTAATAGTTGGAAACTCTGTAAAAAGATTGACTTTAAAATGAAGGGACCCTTACAGAAGAAATCTTGATTGTGGATTTGCAAATTATCCTAATTAAGATGAAAAAGAAAGTGTGATTTCTTAGGGACCTCACTAATAGGTTCAAATACAAAGATGTGAATGAAAGACTGATTAGGTTACCTAAGCAACAAAGTATGAAGGAAGGGAGCACTTACAACCAAAAGTGAGCATAAAATCATGGCATGGATCCAAACACAAAGGATTGGAAATGATGAAGGCAAAATTAGCTCAGTGTTGCTAAGAAGTCTAAAAAAAGCTTTAAACTTATTTCAGAATACAAAGATGACAATGATAATAATGGACTTGTGCTTAGGTCCAGTGGCATAATTATAAAGAGAGAATGGCATAATAATAATATAATACACAATAAAAGAATTAATAATAATCAATGGACACTAAGAAAATAGAATTTCCTGAGTCCAGTGGTTTCCAGTTTCTCTACGTAGGGAAACTGTCTTTTAACTTGAATATTATAAGATGGGAACTGTTTCAGAATCATGTTTAGGGGAATCATAAATGCAGAAAAAGGACTAAATTATTGAAAACAGGAGAAAGTTATTACAATTGTAAAAACGAATTCTGAAAATCAAAGACCTCATATCAATCCTTGGCAAATTTCTAAGTAGAATTCCATGCAGAGGGCAGCTTGGACCTACTGCTGGGAATTGCACACAGTGTGGATGTATTGGGGCACTAGTCTTAGGAAGGAAGGGTCTCTTTGCCCCTTTGAAACACATGAGGTTGGTGGTTCATTCTCTACCCACCCCTCCCCTACTTCTGGAACAACAAATTTTAACTTTCAAAATTCAAACTGCTGCCAAAAATCTGACCTATAGCCCACATAAGATATGTCACATAAGTCATCTTGAAAACAACTCAAACATTACAGCTAATATATGTAAACTGAATATTTTTTTTACCTTTTTTCATAAGAGAAACTTCATTTTTTTCTTGTTTCAATGAAACATCAGTGTCATCTTCATCTAAAACCTGGAAAACAAGCCCTTCATTTAAAGCTGTACAAAAAATAGGACATGTTAAATAATATGAAAATGACTAATATCAGTGCCTGTATCAGAGGAGAGTGGCCATAAAGTTGTCAGAAGTACAATTTATGCACACGTTATTAAGAAAACATACTTCTACACATGCTGTAGAAGGTTATACTGGCATACATCTAAAGGATGACTGCATTATAATTGATTGGCATATGTACTTCTATCATTTCTTTAAAAGGATATTCACATTTCTACAAATATTTGCACAGATATTTTTACATGGATGTAACAAAGACTCCAACAAATGAGCCAAGTATTTGGTTGACCAGGAACAGCCATGACACCTCTGCTGTGTTGAGACGGCTTATCCACACCTCTGGTCACTACAGAGCAGACACAGAGTATGAGCTCATCATCAGTGCAAGGAAAACCTGGGAGAGGTTGTGGCCTGGAGCCCCAGTGCATGATGGGGAAGAAGATGGGGATGGGAACAGGGGGTACACCTGGAACGGTGAGGGAAGGGACCTAATCATTTGACAGAAGCCCAGGAAAACTGCCTAAAAGTGGTTGCAGAGCCTTAATATATTGAATGCGGGAGCCAGGAGAGTTGGTGGCTCCTGAGAGTGGGGGTGCGTGTGTGTGTGTGATGCCAGGGGTAGGGGTAAGGGGAGTTGGGAGTGCTGAGAGGTGGAGTATGCCATTCTAAAAAAGGCCAGGTCTACCATTGCTTGGGAATCCTGTAAGACCCATTTACAAGGCTCACACACAACAAACTTACACTTGGGGAATGCACTTCTCTTAATCAGGAAGTGTTAGTGCATGCCCTTCAGGAGAACAGACCCAGAATGCTTCCTCTGTGTATTTTGTAAATTGGTGAGAAGGTAGGGAACAGGCAGTAAAAGGAGAACGGAGAAGGCAAAGCTCCTGTCTGCTCCTTGATCTGAAGACCCCCGAAAACGCACTGAGACACAACCATGTTCTCCACTTCTGTTACCTGGTGGAAGTTTTCTGGCACAAACCCATTGTGTATATATCCTTTGCCTGCTACACCCCTCTATCCTGCTGAATGAATGTGTTAGGGAGATTTTACCAACCCTCCTTTTCTCCTCTCCAGGAAACACAGCTGTATATTTTACACGGCATTCTGGAAACTGCTGTCAGGATGCAGGTTAAATGGGCACACGTGTAGCCTAGCAACAAAAAAACTGTGCATCTATCCATCATTGCCATTTTCTATTTTACCCAAATCAAGAGACAGAAAAGCCAGTAAGTAAGGGAAGATAAATAAAACTGATTCTAAGATACTTTCATCAATGTCAAAATATTTCTATACTTATACTATAAATCTGTGCTCCAGGAAGTAAAGAAAATGACTTTGAAATGTCTTATTTATTTGATGTGTTTCATGTTAAATAATATGAAAATGACTAATATCAGTGCCTGTATCAGAGGAGAGTGGCCATAAAGTTGTCAGAAGTACAATTTATGCACACGTTATTAAGAAAACATACTTCTACACATGCTGTAGAAGGTTATACTGGCATACATCTAAAGGATGACTGCATTATAATTGATTGGCATATGTACTTCTATCATTTCTTTAAAAGGATATTCACATTTCTACAAATATTTGCACAGATATTTTTACATGGATGTAACAAAGACTCCAACAAATGAGCCAAGTATTTGGTTGACCAGGAACAGCCATGACACCTCTGCTGTGTTGAGACGGCTTATCCACACCTCTGGTCACTACAGAGCAGACACAGAGTATGAGCTCATCATCAGTGCAAGGAAAACCTGGGAGAGGTTGTGGCCTGGAGCCCCAGTGCATGATGGGGAAGAAGATGGGGATGGGAACAGGGGGTACACCTGGAACGGTGAGGGAAGGGACCTAATCATTTGACAGAAGCCCAGGAAAACTGCCTAAAAGTGGTTGCAGAGCCTTAATATATTGAATGCGGGAGCCAGGAGAGTTGGTGGCTCCTGAGAGTGGGGGTGCGTGTGTGTGTGTGATGCCAGGGGTAGGGGTAAGGGGAGTTGGGAGTGCTGAGAGGTGGAGTATGCCATTCTAAAAAAGGCCAGGTCTACCATTGCTTGGGAATCCTGTAAGACCCATTTACAAGGCTCACACACAACAAACTTACACTTGGGGAATGCACTTCTCTTAATCAGGAAGTGTTAGTGCATGCCCTTCAGGAGAACAGACCCAGAATGCTTCCTCTGTGTATTTTGTAAATTGGTGAGAAGGTAGGGAACAGGCAGTAAAAGGAGAACGGAGAAGGCAAAGCTCCTGTCTGCTCCTTGATCTGAAGACCCCCGAAAACGCACTGAGACACAACCATGTTCTCCACTTCTGTTACCTGGTGGAAGTTTTCTGGCACAAACCCATTGTGTATATATCCTTTGCCTGCTACACCCCTCTATCCTGCTGAATGAATGTGTTAGGGAGATTTTACCAACCCTCCTTTTCTCCTCTCCAGGAAACACAGCTGTATATTTTACACGGCATTCTGGAAACTGCTGTCAGGATGCAGGTTAAATGGGCACACGTGTAGCCTAGCAACAAAAAAACTGTGCATCTATCCATCATTGTTTCTATTTTACCCAAATCAAGAGACAGAAAAGCCAGTAAGTAAGGGAAGATAAATAAAACTGATTCTAAGATACTTTCATCAATGTCAAAATATTTCTATACTTATACTATAAATCTGTGCTCCAGGAAGTAAAGAAAATGACTTTGAAATGTCTTATTTATTTGATGTGTTATAAAATGTAAAGTTTTCTTCTGATATGCTGATATATAAGGAAAATCTACATACTTTAAGTGCCTCTAACTTTGAACTAAATTTTTTTTGACCAGTTTAGGGAAGCATAGACTATTCCCACAATAGTTAACAGCAACCACAAGATAAGGATCCAAGATAAACTATTTAACACTTTTAGTTATAACCACTTTGTTGTAATCCATGATGATCCTACTCAGGATGTGTTAATTTTCTTCGGTAGCTCCTCTTCAGGATGAAAATCAGACAAGATGGAAGTATCTGACAGTAACACAAATGACAAAACTCCCAGCAGGAAACTTCTGTTGGTGTTATTATTAACCCAGCATCATGAAATTATTTTTGCATTTTGTTGTGTAGTTGTCTGCTTTGAACTCTGCCTTGTAGGGGCTGCATCCACGAGGATCAGGTATGTCCCCTCACACCACAAATGCTGCTTATACTAAGCTTGAGCATCTCTACCGGAGAAGATATTTTCTTCCTTTCTTATTCTATATTGCATTTTCTTTATTCTTTGGCATAGCAGTATCTAAAAGATTTTGGAACAACAATTCACAGCCTATAGTGTTACCTTTTAAATAACACTGTGTAAACATCTGAGTTCATAGAATGCTACCTTCTCTTACAATGCACTTGTAGCTTTAAAGCTCTCAATTTTTTTCAAGCTGAGACATGAGGATGCAAAGATGTATTTTCAGTGACATGTGTATATTTTGATACTACTTACAAGCCTCTTTCACGTACATTACTTCATTTCATTATAGAAATGTCCTCCAGTCACTTAGTCTTAACTGTGTTTCATACTCTGCAATGTGGGGATATCTCTTTCCTAAGATTTTACCTCAGTATGAAACAGGTAACACCTCCCACACAGTAAAGGAGATCACAGTTAAGTCTTAACATGGGGTTTCAGATACTTTAGGGAAAATTACATTAACAATTGGCAGAGTGGAATTTGTCAGTTCTCCAAGGAAAGCTATGGATCAGCATAACACCACATGCTTGGTTTCGTGCAGTATCTATTTAAGAGGATAAATAAATCATGTATACGTCAGAGGAAACAGGACACACTGCACTCAGCGGTGTAACGTTTATCTAATTCACCTACCAAAGAAGCCGTACTTGGCTGGTGCCACTTTATCTGGCTTCTTTCCTTCTACGTGTTTGCCTGGCCGCCTCCGCCCCAAGCATTTATTAGTATCAAGGGCCCGTAAAGGCTACCAGACCAGTGAATAATTTCCTGCCAAACTGAAGGGCCCTTTCTATTGTCACTATTCCATAGTTAGCATTCTGCTCTAGGCCCCTCCCTTTCATCCATTAATTTAGTCAATAAAATTGAGTTCCCAGTATGGGTCAGATGCTGTTATGGTGAAGAATACAAAGTTCTGCCTTTAAGGAGCTTATTTTCTGGTGAGAGAGAAAGAGATATTAAATAAATAAAAAGATAGATCTGTAATAAAATCCAAGGTAACATAAGTTCTGTGAAGAAAAATAACACAGGTAATAAGAGAGTAAGAGCAGTTCCTGCACACGTGAGCCAGGCTGCCTCCCTGGGCCTCGCTGTTCTCGCTCCACATCCTCCATCTCTCTCTCCGCTTTTCCACAGACGTGCCAAGTGGGCCCTCTTTCCGGGTCTTTGACTGGTTGCTTGCTGTTTGTTTGCCCCCGACTTTTGTCTAGTCCATCCTCAGACATCCCGTGTTAGGCCTCCCTTGCCAGCTCTATGTGAAACGGCGCTCACCCTCAGCACACCCAACACAGGCACCGTCCCCTTCCTCTGCTGCTTCTCCCTATATTTACCTTACCTACCATACAGCATATTCTATTTGTGTGTTTACTGTCGGATCCCCCACTAGAATGGAAGCACCATGAGGTCAGGAAGCCCTGCGTATTCTTCCTCTTACTGTATCTGCTAAGTCTAGGACAGCCCACGCAGAATAAAAGATGGTAACAAAGAAAGACAGGAAAATATGGCTATGTGGCTGGGGGTGGGCTGGGGGTGGAGGGGGGCTGTAATGGAGTCCAGGCATTATGAACAGCAAAGCAAAAGGCAGGGAAGCAAACATAAGCTTAGGCTGTTGGAGGCCCAGGAAGGTCAGGGTGGCTATAGTGGACTGAAAAAGAGATGAGCAGTAGGGGTGAGGTGCCCAAGAAAGTCAGGCCAGGTCATCTAGGGCCTTGGAGGGTGCAGCAAGAACTGAACTGT